CCCCCCCCCCCTTTCGCGGATGGCGCTGGCTGCGAATTGGGTGCTTTGTGCGCATGACCCACGACCCATCGAAACTCTCAAACCGAAAATATTACTGCGATTGCCATCACCAACCTCGCCATGATGATCCCTGGAAGTGTTGAAATGGAGATGCTTGACAAAATCATGCCGTTAATTTCTCGCCTCTTGTCTGGCATGTTACATCTGGTGTTATTGGCTGACCAAATTCCTTGATACAGCACGATCTTGAATTCGAGTCCGCCGACGCCGGTGCGTCCACGACCTACCCCCGCCAGTGTTCTGCTCTACGCAAGGGCGGTTTCGTCGTTATCAAGGGACGCCCTTGCAAGATTGTAGAAATGTCTACCTCCAAGACTGGCAAGCACGGTCACGCCAAGGTCCACCTGGTTGCCACCGATATCTTCACTGGCAAGAAATACGAAGATTTGTCTCCATCCACCCACAACATGGATGTGCCCGTCGTCAACCGAAAAGAGTACCAGCTGGTGAGTAACAACTCTTTCCTACTACCGTCCCGATACCTTGTGGCCATTCATCCCAAGTCAGCAAAACTCTGCCAGTGTACTAAGTTAGTTGCTAGGTCGACATCTCCGACGACGGTTACCTCTCCCTCATGGATGACAGTGGCAATCTGAAGAATGATGTCAAGAAGCCTGATGATTTAGATCTTATCAAGAAGCTCGATGCGCTCTTCCCCACCCCCGAAACCGAAACCAACAAGCAGAAGGATACCAGTAAGCTGTTCCCCCTAATCCAAAGAAGAGTCATAAACAACATTCTTGTGGGAAACAGGGGTATCCCAGCGTGTGAATATTTTTATTAACAGCTTTGGTAGACGTTATTATCCTTACTGCCATGGGTGAGGAGGCTTGCATCGACGCTAAGGAGGCTCCCAAGGGCGCCTAAGCAGCAATTGAATCGACGAAAAGTTCACGCAGTGCCAATGTTGTACAACCCTTCTTGAGACAATGTCGTCCGCATGGTATCTAGGCAAACTGCAATTAGTTATGATTCTATGCAATGCAAATGTAGATGGGACGATGAATCGAGGTCGACGAGTATGGAGATGCTATATGAAAGGGATTGTATTAGCTGGCTGCGGCTCTGGTCAACTCACCCATAGTTGAGGCGACAGCTCTGAATCATGTTTCCTTTGTTTCGCAACGACTCTTGGCCATTAGTACCACTGCATGAAGTTGCAGCTGGGCAAGTCATTCCCAAAAGAAAAAGAAGAAAAGAAAAGATGAGATATAACGACCGTATATTGAAGTTTCTCCTTTATCATGCAAAGACAGTGAAGAATTGTAGAAAGGTTTGATTTGTTTCTCCCTCTGACCTACAGTGCATTGGACTACTATTTGAGGAGTAAAGTTACGGCACTTTTGTCGAGCTTTACTACAATTTAGAAGAGATGATAGAACGCCTTAAAACTGTCAAGTTGTGTGTGAAAATGGGTGACGTTTGGGAATCGTGGGCGCCCACTTTAATGGTGGGTGAATTCGCAGTGAGACGAAGTCTGATGTGTGCGAGGCATACGCCAACCTTGCCTGACCTCACCTTGCCACTGGAGCACACTCAAATTAGCATCACTGCGCGGCACGTACAACGCAGCTCTTGTCTGCCTCCCTTCTTCATGAAATACCCTACTTGTCCTCAAGCCCGATTTGGGTTTTATTTTCCACCTCCATGTAGCGTTCATGCAACGGGATTGATTTTGTCATTAGAGTGATACAGAGCACTCGGTCACAGGTCAGTCAACATGGAGGACCGACGAGAGCTTCGCAGAATGCCTCGAGGGGAGAGATGCCCTGAATGTGGAAGCCAAAAATGGTACCTACAGGATGGATTGCGATTTTGCTCCAGAGGCCATCAAATAGAGGTAGGGTACTCTTGATGCGCTCTTAAAACGGATAGCCAAAATGGATGGGGAGACTGACAGCTTCCCTGGTAGGGGTTTATTCAATTTGACGTTGGTGATGAAGAAGATGCTGGCAAGATGGGAGCTGTAGCTCGGCGAGAGAAGGAAAAGAGAGAGGTGGAAAAGCGTCAACTCACAGGCCAGGAAGGACGATCGCTGTTCCTAGAGGCAGTTCAGCTACTCTTACGAAAACAAGTCTCGTTTCTGATCCGAAGCAAAGGTCATAGAGAGGAATTAGAAACGGTTGTTAGAGACTTATGGGACTTGCGCATCAGGGGGTATACTTCTAATACCCCAGAAACAAATCTTGCAAACACCGAGCTTGAAATGTTCAGCTCCCAGTCGACCAGGACAGAGGAGGGAGCAAACGTGTATTGGCACTCACGATCCAGGGCCCAGAGTTGGGATCCTGAGCGTGGCACTGACTGGCCTACGCCTCGAATGACAGAGACTATTGTTCTATGCTATCTCGGTTGCTTACTCTTAAGAATACCTACAAGGCTAGCGGACCTGCATGCTTGGGTCTCAAATACCAGCATGCCCTACTTGAGAGCGGTAAGTTTTCTCCATTGTATACCTACTATATTTCCCGAGGGCCTTACGCTTTCTAGTTTCAGGAGCTACCGCGGGAGATGCAAGAACGAATGCCTTCGTCTTATGCCAATACAATAAAACTGTGTTCTCGTTCTGGTTTGGATGGAGAAGACTTGTACCGAACAGTCATGGACACTGTTCTCTCGTACCGATTAAATTACGACATGACGTTTCCGGAGCTAAATTACGTCCCCATGGTCGTGCAGTACGCAAAACATCTTTGCTTACCAGGTTTGTGTACACTTCTCAATGGGTAAGGCTCGGCACTGATTAACCCAAATGTAGTCGAAGCAATTGCGGTAGCAAGACGACTTGCATCAGCTTTGGACCTCGTGTTTCATTTTCCAGTATCAAAAGCGAATCTTCACTTCATCGATAATCCTGAGGTGCAGTTAATTTCACTTCTCGTCGTGGCAGCGAAGATGTGTTTTCCACTTGATCCTAGCCAGCCCTCCCTCCTAGACCCTGCAGGCTGCTGTCTACCTCAATTCGACTGGGCAAGCTGGAAGACCGGTTTCTCGAGCGACGGCTCAAAATCGGGGAAAGATACACAAGAGCAGGCTGAATTTGAACAGATCACACCAAATCAGGTCACGAAAATGAGTGATGAGAAATTCGACGCGTATGTGGCGCATTTATCTGAGTCGATAGGCCATGGAAGTGAGTCGGCGCGGGAGGTACTTCCCATACTTGTAACAGGAGCGCTAACGAATGAGTTGAGGTTATAATGAAATTGCCCAATTCTTCCCAGCCGAAACCGTGGCCGTATCTTCATCGTCGCAGTCTAGCACACCAGAAGAGAAGATTGAGGGGAGAGCTCGTCGTATTTTAGCACAGGCTGTCAAACCAAATGACAAGGACGGTAGACGGAGAGAGGTTACATACGAGGCATTCCGTACAGTTGAAGATATGTCAGATATTTCTTATGCATTTTACAAGGAAGCAGGTTGGTGTACACCCATATTTTTGTCACTCTCCTCTAACACTGCGCTAATATATTCATACTTAGGAAACGCAGCCGGATTGTCGACCGGCACCATGACACGAGCGATTTACATGCTGGAGCAACGGATCGTCTCATGGCAGAAGAAGCACCGGGAGGAAAGATTAACGGAACGATGAGGCGTCCGGTAGACAGCTTCCGTATCAGTGGCCACAAAACCACCTTGTTAGTTGCATGAACTTTAGACCAATGATAGCCGCACGATATTGATAGCGCAGAAAAGGCACAGTGAGAGGCAGCCCTTTGATAATCAACCAGACTGACAAAAATCCCTGCCAAATCCAGGCCCGCAAGTGCTGGAAAGCGCCCTCTCTCTGCAGAAAAGCCGTCCCCACTAGGACTCCTTTCAAAATTTTCACGTGACCTTGCATATGACCTAGGGCTTTTTTTGCATCTGCTCTTTGGCCCCACCAACTTCGCGCAGACTTGTTCGGCTGCACGAAACTTCACCATCGTCAGCGTCACAAAATCAGTCAAGAGTAAGTTTCGGCTTCTGCGGTTAGGCTATGCGTGCATATTGAAAATTACTGACATATTTTTAAATAGTGCAGATGTAAGCTCGAATTTTTGGTGACGCCGAGTTTGGATTTCTTAAACTTTGACCGACTTGTACTGACGAAGCAACACAGTTTCGTGAAGACCCTGACGGGCAAGACCATTACCCTTGAGGTCGAGTCCTCCGATACGATCGACAATGTCAAGTCCAAGATCCAGGACAAGGAGGGGATTCCTCCGGACCAGCAGCGTTTGATCTTTGCTGGCAAACAGCTAGAGGATGGCCGAACTCTGTCCGACTACAACATCCAGAAGGTTCGTCCCACATGCGCAATGCAATATCGAGAGAACAGAACAATTACGGAAGATTTGCTTGAAGTTTTTTTTTTTTTTTTTTGGGGAGGAGGGGGGGAAGATGGGTGATCTTTTATATATCAAGATTGACTGACTGGTTGCTTTGTTCCGACTTGACAGGAGTCCACCCTACACTTGGTCCTTCGTCTCCGTGGTGGTATCATTGAGCCCTCGCTGAAGGCGCTGGCCTCCAAGTTCAACTGTGACAAGATGATTTGCCGCAAGTGCTACGTATGTTACATGCCTTATTCAATTGCTTGCAAATATGCGGCGATGCTTCTCCGCAATGACTGACAAGGTACACAGGCTCGCCTCCCTCCCCGCGCTACCAATTGCCGCAAGCGAAAGTGCGGTCACACCAACCAGCTCCGACCCAAGAAGAAGCTCAAGTAAACGGTTTCACCCATGGATGTGGCGTATTGTTTTTTGGCATTCTGGAGATGGCAAGGACAAAGGCGCTTCACGGTTGACGAGCCTGGCTTTGTTTCTAATTTTTTAGCATCTGCAGCTCAGGCAATCCAATCTAGATGGTGCCCATGAATGAAATTTTTTGCAACAATGACATAGCCTTGTCCAGACGCCCTGATGGACCAGTAATGGTGAGAGGCTGCAATGGGAATGGGGGCATGACTTTTGCAGGAGCGACTGGGTTTCAGAAGTATTGGCATTGTACGCGGTACTAGGCAAAGGAGGGATTCAGCCTGGTAAAAATTAGTCATGGATCAATGGTGCAGACTTGCAGACCTCGTGTAGATAGTTTTTTCTAATGCTATGCCAAGACGGAACCAGCTATGAAATTCTCGCGATCTCATCCTTGCTGCAAGCCTCGGAAGTCAGACTGGAGACAGAAAACGCCGCAATCACGCTTGCACCTATTTGGTGTGCGTCGTACCAGATGAATTACTTAAGCCCCTCCCTAGGTCGGGGCAAGGGGCAGCTTAAGCCATCTGGTGTGCTTGGGTTATGATAACGGGTAAAACCCGGTCTTCCTGGACGACCAGAGCAGCTCTCAATCCGTGGAGCTTTCCCACCCTCCCTTGTTCGCTGACGACAGGCAAATGTGTCCGCAGCGGCGTGCGCCCGATTTGACCGCGTGAATCTTGCAACTTCTTGCTTTAGCGAGTCGCTTCAGAGGTCCCCCCCATCTATATCTTGGTCTTGCATGACTGATTAATACCTTGTTCAATAAACAAGAAGTCCACAACAGCAATACCCCCAATCTTCCCTTGGGATTCAAGATACTGCCATCATGTCTGGGTCAGGATACGACGCCGTGGTGGACGTGGACGACGAGGTATGCGATATTTCTTCAAACCTTCGATTGAGGCAGGCACAGGCTTTTTGTGAAGGCGACCAACTGATGATTCTCCTGCTTCTCTTAATACGTAGCAAACCACTCGGCCTCCAAATCAGCTAACATATCAACATAGGGCGACCTCGGTCACACTGATCTCCAAGAAGATCTCGAATTCCACAACTCCAACTTCACCGATACATCGCACAGTGGCCGCAAGGGCCCTCCATCTGGCCTTCCTCCTCCGGCCACGGCCTCATCGGGGTCGTCGTCGTCGAAGCGCTTCCTATGGACTATATCCTTCTATTCGCAATTCTTCGACGTCGACACATCGGCCGTGCTGTCACGCTGCTGGGCGGCACTCTATCCTCGAGCAAACTTTCTCGATGTCCTTGAGGGTAACCCTGACTTGTACGGCCCATTTTGGATTGCAACGACTGTCGTGTTGATTCTGTTCTTGGGTGGGACGATCAGCGACTGGTTGTCGACGAGAGGGACCACGCAGTTTGCCTATGACTTCAGGCTGTTGAGCGGTATGTGTCCTGCCTGGACGCTCTCTTCTCACTGACACTTAACGCTGCCGTTGCGAGCTACTGAGCGTCACAATAAGTTCCCAGACTAACCACATGTTTTACTATTAGGCGCCGCCGGCCTGGTCTACGGATATACCCTTTTCATTCCCGTAGCGCTCTTCCTCGCCCTCCGATACTTTGGCAGCGAGTCTGCCAACCTCCTCGAATGCTGGGCCCTGTACGGCTACTCTAACCTCATTTGGATCCCAGTCGCCATCATCAGTTGGTCGCCTATCGAAATTCTCAATTGGACCTTTGTGGCCCTTGGCTTTGGACTCTCTGTTGCCTTCCTCCTGCGCAACTTATATCCCGTGCTTAGCGCTACAGATCGCCAAGTCAGTAAGGTTCTCCTGATTATTGTTGTTATCCTACATGCCGGGTTGTCTATCACTATAAAGATCCTCTTCTTTGCGCATAACAGCCCTGTCGCAAAGAAGCCTGCTGGTGACGATGTGCCTGCAAGTGATAAGCCAGCTTTTCTACTCTGAGCAGGCTTTATCAGCTATGAGAAGAGGAGAGAGGGGTCGGTAGGCCGAGCAGAAGGGAACTGTGAATTTATTCCGCACAGACACGGGAACGAAAGGAACCAGGGTTGGCCGGTCCTAGTCAATGTCGCACACTGGATGTGGTCAGTATGCCAGTATTGTACATCATATGAAGCGCTATCTACCTAAATCAATCCGACACCCTCGGGTTGAATACCATGCCACATGCCTTTGTCCAAAATGCCCGTACTCTGTCAGCCGACCACAGATGCTGAAAACCCCTCCCGAATAAACCACCCATCATGCCCTCCAGCCACCAACATGACGAAAACCTCGTTTTGTGTATCTAATTCTGTCCGAGCCCCTAGTCACTCTTCACCCTCTCAACAGGACCCTTCTGCGCCTCCCAGTCCAGCCAGCTCCCTGGATATTCACCAACGTTCTCCCACCCAGCGTGCTTCGCCAGCGCCGCCGCCGACTTGGCCCTCACGCCAGCTTTGCAATAGAACAAAAGCGTCGTGTCGCGTGAGGGTCTCTCAAACCCATATGTGTCCTCAAAGTCGGCGTCGGAGATGTGGAAGCTCTGCACGGCCGATGTGACGGGGATATTTATAGCACCGGGAATCTTGCCGGTAGTTTGCAGTTCGAGCGGTTCACGAACGTCTGTACATCATTGTTTCCTTCTTGTTAGCAAAAGGCCACCCTCTTCACGCAAGACAGACATTACGTTTGGGTCTTTGGGCGGGGCAGGAGTACATACCGACAATGACAATGTTCTCGGACGCGCGCTTCCCATCGACCAGTTGCTTAACCTCGTCAAACGACCAAATCCTGCTCCCAGGCACGGCATCCTCATGGCCGGCAGAGAACCACCTTCTCCCGGGGGTGAATCGGGCAGAGACGGCCCGCCGGTTTCGGGGGGCGCTCCGTATGTAATGGGACGAGGCAGAGCCGCAGATGGCCGTGCATGCCGCGGCGGGAGCCGACCGGGCTGTGCTGCGCAGAAGTGCGGGCGCTGCTGTCGTGATGAGCCGGCGGGTGGTGGCCATGCTGATGGTGTCTGATGATGGCGCCGAGGCTCTTCTCAGCGTAAGCCGGGATTGCGTGGGTGTCCTTCTCGGTAGATCTAGCAGATCAACAGGCGGTTGGAATGAGGCATGTTTCGCATCTAGCCTATTAGGCCGACATACCTTGTGTAGTTTGAGTAGGTATGCAACCTCGGATGTGGGCTTGTTGATGGCAAATTGTAGGTTGCTTTCTGAGAATCGGACGTAGGTCGGACAGACAACCTAGAAGACGGTGGAGACCTTGAAGGCTTGCACATGGCACAATGGGGACATGGACCAGAGATCCTTGGTCGCTACCCCAAAATTCGCGGTGGTGCATGGTAGTACCAATATGCACGCATTTGAGCTGGTGTATCCTCTTCCGGGACGCCTACTTTCCGCTCTAGATTTCAAATACCGTCTCAAAATCTTTAAGACTCGATTTTCACCTTGATAAAAAATTCGCTAGTCTACTCAAGACCGCCCTATCGTTCCATGACCCGATCTAGTGTCAAGCCATCCAATAAATACCAGCGTGAGCTGGCATAACTATGTACAAATGCGTAACGAACTTATTACAATTAGATATCCACAAAACTCCTGCCTGCTGGCCCATTCATCCGCGAGATTACTTGTGACCCATGGAACCAACTTGTCTATATGCATGCCAATGGTTCATTACTCAAGTGCGATTCAATATTGTGCTTCGCCGGTTGAATCGGTAAATCGAGCTGATTATCGCTACCTGGTCGATTCATCGTGTAGCTAGCGGTAATGGCCAGTCAACCACACAGGACTGTCGGCTGCTTCCGGCTGTAGCTCAGCCTTGCTCATCGTTTTTAATTATTGTCCTTTCAGGCGTATTGTCGTTTACCACTCGCGCTTCTCAAAGGTGAGGGGACAGTCATCCTTGGGGAAGATGGTAGCAAACACTTTGATCTCTTCAGAAAGCGGCGTGGGGTGGTGAGTCCATTTCAGCTGAACAGAAGCCTTACCCAGCATCAATGCAAGGTTGAGCTGGGCATAAACTTGGCCAAGACAGTAGTGAGGGCCAGTGCCGAACACCAGATAGTTCTTGGCCCCCTTCACCTCAGCATCTCCAGAGTAGTACCGCTCAGGGTCGAAGTAGTCCGGGTTCTCATAAACCTCAGGATCATGCAGAGCCATGTAGGTGGTAGGGACAACCATAGAACCTATAAAGAGAGTTTAGCTCACCAGAAACACACAAAATATTGAGGTCGCGTTTGGGAATGAATTACTCACCCTTGGGAACAGTGTACGAATCAGTAATAGGGAATGGCTTCTTGACCAGGTAAGGAACCATCAGCACGGGAGGGCGATATCGAAGCAATTCACGAACGACAGCGCGGGTGTAGGTAAGAGACTCAAGCTGATCCATGTTGATATCCGCATCAGGGTCACCGTTGCGGACCTTCATATTCTCCTCGCGAACACGATCCAAAACATCTGGCCGCTGTGCGGTAACCTGGAAAAGCCAAGTGGCAGCGCTGCTCGTAGCATCCTGGGAAGCAAAGAGGAAAGTGAAGACGGTTTGTGATATTTCGTAGTCGGAGAACATGCGGACCAAGGGCGACGGCTTTTCCACGCCCTCCGTATTTTCACCCTTCTCTTGAGCCTCGCGCCAGCGGTCAGACTGAATCATCTGAAGAATCCAGCCATCCATGATGCAGGTCACCTCGCCGCCGGCAGCCATACGGACCTTGCTCTTTGCTGCACACTTGGCAAACTCGACAAGAACCATGTCAGCGGCCTTTTTGCCGTACCAGGTCTTGGTGAAAGGAATAATGATGGGGAAATTGACAAGCTCGAGAGCAGCGGTGATTAGGTAGTAGTCATCAGCGATCTTCTTGACGGCAGCATCGGACATGTAGTGGCCAACAAAGGTGCGGCAAGACACGGCGCACATAAGTTCGCGGAATTCAGGCATGAAAGGCACGGGCTTTCCGTTGTTCTCTTTGGTGACGCTGAGGAACTTCTTGAAATACGTCTTGTACACTTCCTCCTGGCCAGGCAGGTAGCACTCAAGAGCCTTGCGGGTAAAGAGACCATTTAATCCCTTCCGAAAGTCGACGTGGGCCTTGCCATCGAGGAAAACCCAGTTGTCGTGTCCAAGAAGCTTATGGGCGACATCGACAACGCAAGGCTTGACGTACATGGGCGAATTGAGGACTTTTCGGGCCATATCTCGAGTGGAAGCAATGACGACGAACCTGTGACATTGTTCAAGTACATTGTTAGTTTCGTTCAGTGTAGGAGAAGTATACCCCGACTCAACTAGGCAACTGCGAGGTGTTGGCGCAGTTGGAATTGGACACGAACGTACTTGTGGAAGACAGAGACACAGCTAAGGGGACCACTGGCCCATTTTGCGTAGTATTCTTCAAACTTGGGATCCATAGACTGTAAGAAAGGTCCGATAAATGGCATCTTCCAGGCCGGGCCAACAATTGACCCCTTGTTCAAGAGGTAGCTAACTATGGCACAGGGTCGCCAAGTTAGCAACGATTCTCCGTCATTTCGATAGCGCAAAGTATGGCCCGGGGGCGACAAGAGTACAGCGCAAGATCAAATTCGATAGCTAGAAAGAAAAAAGAAAAAGAAAAAAACGTACTTTGGTCGTAGACTACACACATGGCCAAGATAGTCAGAAGAATAGTCCAGGCGCTGGCGGTGGTGACGGCCTCGAAGATCATGTCTAGCTGGGGAGGAACATTGACGTTGCCATACTTGGAGCCGGCCAGCATGGATGGGAAGGCAGACGACGAAGTATTGGCGTCCATGATGGGCGATTTCGACGAACTTCTTTAACCGAGTCTGGAAGAGTCTGACTGAGCAGGAAGAAGAATACTCGCTTGTCGCGAGAAATTAATCGGGGTTCTGTACGGAGTAGAGGACCGGAATCTGGTCGGGGGACACGGCAGAACGGGAAGCGGGCCCTGCTTTGGTGGTGACTTTTTTTTTGGGCTCTTTTAAATTAGGGAGTACCTCCTCCGAAAACCTTTGACGTGCCCACGCCAAAAAAAAAAAAAAAAAAAAAAGGTTCAGAAAAAAAGAACCCGTGGTAACC